CCTACTAAAATGGTAACGAAATGTTAAAAAGGATAATAGTTATCTGTGCTTCTTATATCCTAAAATGCAGCTTCCATATACAAATATGTTTCACCTTTAGCTTGCAAAATGAAGCCGTTCGATGTATTTAAATACTGGTATTATAGTGTAAAATTTCTCAGTCTCGAAATAAACTGTTTTCGAAAGTATATAATATCGTCATTATTTTCCCAAATTTAGGCTATGTTCACACCGGATAGCTTTTGCGCAGGCCCAAAAACATAGTGGACAAGGCTTCTGTTAATCCTCACATATGAGTGGCGATTTCGGTGATTTCTGTAACGGAGCAAAGCTGCAGATAATATACTGATTTTTTTTTTTTGGAAAAATGGCAATTTTGGGTAGTAATTTTGACATCAGTATTAGCCGAATTCTAGCCCCATACTCCTCTCTGTCCAATGCCTTGAGAACAAAGTTACAGCCGCCGCCCGGTTAGCTCAGTTGGAAGAGCGCCTATCTGCTGAGCGGGAGATCGTGAGTTCAAACCCCGGCCGGACCATCAACCAAGGTCCTTAGAAAACTGGTGAGATCATGCTAGCTGTGAATCCTCTTTCTCAGTTCAGATGATCGCGTCATTGGGCGTTGACGTTAAGCCGTTGGCATTGTCTCCTTCAACCTTGTAGTTCAGTTGGAAGGGGATGTAAAAGAACCCGTGACATTAATATTGTTCAAAAAGAGTAGGGGAAGTAGGCCCTGATGTCATGGTCTATCTGACTTGTGCCGTCATCAGTCTGGGTGGGTGCAGTGTGATCAAAATATGGACTGAAGTGACTGCAAGAGTGCGCCTTTACATGTTGTCGTCCAATCTCACCTCTCTGGTTCCTCCGCAATTCAGCCATTGGCTGCAATAAGTGAGGAAAGTTGGCACCGGTTATTTTTTTTTTTTTTTTTATTTCTACAGGAGCTGATTACTCATTTCTATTTTTTTTTAACAGGCATGAGCTGAAAGCTCCATAGTAGAGTCCATGGTCAAATTCATTTGGCAACACAATTTACCAATGGAGTTATATTTAAATGGCACTTTCAAAATTTCCCCTTGGAGGCTGGATTTTTGGTGGTCAGAGGAAAAAAAAAGAGACGCCCCCTCCCATCCCCCGCATAGCTACAGAACTAGAAGTTAGAGAACTGAGCCAAAGTGACTTTTGAGATATCTCTTCACATCCAACTTCTGTACTAAGTTTCAGCCAAATCAGTTGATCATAACTCTTGGCCCCTGGAACACTTTCCCGAACAGTGACACTAAAGGCGAAATTTGTAGTGCTTGTTTTCGCAACTCGCAGGAAAGAATTCCGTCAGATATTGTAGTACGTTTTTGTGGATGATGCAATTAACATCAAGAGGCAAAGGCCTTTTTCCTGCCATAAGGCTAGATTATCCAGAAATGCGTGGTTTAGCTATTATGATGGTTTAATTAAATTTGTTTGAGCTTCGCGGCAACAAGAGCAAATAAGATTTTAAAACATCATTTTTTTATTGGTGTATTAAAGTAATTTGATTCTTAATCAGTTAAGTTGAAGCTTCCACATGCATGCATCTCTGTTATTCCTTGTTAACTGCTGTAATGGTGTTATACTGACAAGTCACCTGGGTAACCCTGAAATGAAAAACAAAAGCGGTTTTTTTTTTCCGTGTTTGCACAGTGCATTGTAACTTACGTCCTTGTCAACTAAAGTAGTAATAAGCCATGTGAACTAAATCTAGTAAGTGGCTGTACTTTCTGGGGCAGTTGAAACTGGCTAACGTATCGCCTAATGACCTGGTGCTGTTCTATACTACATGTATTAATATTTTGGTCAATAACTGATTACGCTATTCCAGCCTTCTACCAAGTGCGCTTATAGAAACGAGCCGTATCGATTATAGTGCCCGGCGCCAGCTACAACACTGGGTTGGAAGATCCGTGGATTTTACCCCTGGGGGAACACCATGACCAGCTTTGCAACAACCTTTTTAGCAGAACCCTTTCGGACGCGAAACCTAAGATTAGAAACCTGTCGCCTCCCACTCGCTGCCGCAATAGTTGCAAATTAAAAAAAAAAATGAGCAATTTTGAAAACGAATCGGGTAAGTAACTTCTTCATATCCCCCATGGCTGCGACGGTATAACCATAGACAACTTTCTGAGAATTTTTAAATTTTCTTAATTTTTATAGTTTTTAAACGCTATCACATTTTTTAAAGTATTTGTAAATATCTTTAATCATAGTTTTATTATTCATGGACTACAGTCGACTCTCTCTTAAAAGCCACCTCTATAAGACGGACACCTAGAGTTGGTCCCAAAGGTGTCCATCTTAGAGAGAGTTGACTGTATTGCTATATTACTGTATATTATTATAATAGTTATTACAGTATTGTAAAATTACATAATTCAGCCGAGAGGCTGCCAAGTAAATAAACAATCTATCTATATTAGAGAATTAATCAAAGTAGTTATTGCCCGTGGTAGCAACAAAATGGAAAAATATTATTCTTTGCTTGCTTTTTTGTTTGTTTGTTTGTTTGTTTATTTATTTTTTTACGGGAGGGGGGCGGTGGTGTTGTTTGTTTTTATATACATCAATGGCCTAAACAGTAGAAGTGCACCAAAAAAATCAAAATCTAATGCTTAATCGATTCAGGCGCCGATCTTACTTTCTGCCGAACTAAAGAGGAGAAGAGTGATCTCTGAGTTAAGTTGATTGTAAAATACGTTATAATAATTTATTCATTCGGTTCGGCACCTGGAAAGTTCGGTGTCGGAATCAAAGCCGTTCCATAGACACTTCTCTAGTCGAAATTTCCAGCTGGAAGGGCTGGGCGAATTGAACGACTGAGTCTTTCCAAATTGAAATAGGCGTTCCTAATTGATTCAGTCACTCCGAAATTTTCACGGACTGAATAGAGCGTATTTTATTGCAACAAAAAAAAATGACAAAAAAATGGTCCAAATCCCACAGGATTTGTTTGAAACAGCAATATGGCCGCCGTTTCATGCATTGTTTTCGAACACCAATATGGCCGCCGTGACGTCATTTGAATACGCTCTATAACAATGTATTGGGCTCGGCTCATGAAAAGTTCGGCGTCTGAACCGGGCTTGAGTTTGGATCGACAATAGCCTCCTATCAGACGGCTGAAACGGGCGAAGATCTTCGTAGGGACAAAATTAGATCTTCTCATGAGACAAACTAAATGGGTAGATTAAAATTTTGTATGTTTATAGAATAGTTAGAAAATGATAAATAAACAGTAATAACACTAACAATAATAATAATAATAATAATAATAATAATAATAATAATAAGAAGAAGAAGAAGAAGAAGAAGAAGAAGAAGAAATTAATAATGCCCATTCCACTTGTATTCTCGTTAGTGTCTTTAGTCTGAAGAACACCTGGCTAAAGTCACGACATACTGGTAGCCCTTTGTGGTAACTTTTGTGCTAAGAGAAATACGTTTTGTAGGTAAAAGACGGAACAGTGAAGCTGGCATTTTCAAGGACCAAACTTCAGAGAGACTTGGTGAATATGAACAGCCAAAAAAAAAACATGCCAAAGTTTCCGTTTAAGCTGATCAATTCAGAGAAAATATCGGAGCTTCATTTATGGGGACAAAGAAAACTGTCCGATTCTAAGGAGTGTCTGAATTAAATGGGTGTCTCTTAAGAGGGATTTTAATGTAGGATAGTGATCTGTTTCGCACTACACTACGAGCAGTCTCTCTTTTTTCTTGGTCCATCGAGCAAAACGCCCGAGACACGTAAATGACCACGCGCGTGACTGAAGGCGAGAGACGGGAGAGGATGCTACCCTCGGTTCTCGCGAAAAAAAAGAAAAAGAGAGACTGCTTGCAGTCTATATCGCACCGTTTAGTGCTTTTATTGTTATTATCTTTGTGTGTTAGACAATCTGACATGTAAGCAAAAATAAAGTTTTATTTAAGGATTCATATCTATTCTTACTTCCTTTTTTAATTATATTACACTTAATTTAGCATCATTTTATCAAAGTTATCATAACTGTTGGTGAAATCCACGCTTTTTGTCACTAGTTTGAGTTAAAACAAGAATCTCATATGACCAAAGGCAGATGCTGGGTTGAATTTTCAACAGTGTTTGAATTTCTCTCTGAATTTGCTTTCAAGGCATCCTTTTTACTCAGATAAAATTTTCTAGAAGGTTACCTCAATTTTTACGGGCTTTAAGTAACATGGAATACATTTGATCAATGAAAAATGGTCGATCCAAGATGGTAGATGGTTGTAGTTCGTATATGTAATGACATCACCTCTTAAATTTATGTTTTAGCCAACTCCTTGATCTTATCAGCAACCTTACTATTTTTCGTTTTACTTTATGTCTATACTTTGTGCAAAAGTTGAATTCTACCAATAGATTTTAAAAAATGTGACGTCATAATGACATCAAATTTCCCCTATTCTGGAATCCGGATTCCCTTACATGGGACAAAATAGGTGCACTTACGCTGGTCGGTGATATTAGTGGGAATTCCAGTCACCGCTGTTGGTGTTGTTACCTTAACTCCTCCGGCAACACCTTAAATTCAGAAATATAAATTTAAAGCCAAAACTTTACTTTCGCAGTATCTGTAGTATGCCTTTTGCGCAACACATATATATGAACTTGATTAATATGTCTTTGCCGCTTCCCAAGAGCCTCTCCGTAGCACAATGTATACATAGCGTCCTTCCGTTGTTTGGGGAGGCCAAAGTGTAGGTTAATAACCCATTTCCACTGACTGTGACGTGGTAATTATTATACCTCGTTCTCAAATGAACGAATACCGATAAGTGCGTTGTTTTATAGGAGAAAACGATCCCCTTGATCGATTGTTTTTATACATTCTTATGAATTCAAATGCATGTGCAAAGCTCTCCTCCTTATCAATTCGTGAGCTACTCGTATCAAATAGGAAGTTTAGGTAAGGAACAACAGAAAACGTTCCGTTAGCATGATATAGCTAGACACGTAAGTGTAATCACACATATAGATTTGATTTATAAATATGATTTTTCCTTTAGTTCCTTGTCACGTTAGGGTCGCCATGAGTAAGAATTGTCCAAAGATAATTACACTGTTTACGAATAGTTTATGATAATTATTATACATACCACATTGTTTGTACAGTTTGTTTGCCTGATCTGCATCTCTGGCACTTAAGCCATCTCGCTGTCCAATGATTTTCTGGAACTAGATAAAATTTTGTTTGTGTTTGTTTCCGTTTTGGCTTTTTAACATTAATATTAAGCGGAAAGTTAAGAAGGGAGTCAATCTGGAAATTTTCTTGTAACGAAATGGCTAGAAAAGAATCAAATTTACGTGAAACTACTTTCTTTCTTTCTTTCTTTCTTTCTTTCTTTCTTTCTCACACTATATACTGAGGAATTTACACTCGTGTACGTAAGTAAGAGAACATAAGTAGCTGATAAATAATCGTTAAGCTAAAAGACATTAAGTTCATCCGTGTACAGTGTCCAAGAGCAAGAGCTTTCTTGTTGGACACCGCGGGTCATGTTTAGATAATCGGCATCAGCAAGAGAGGAAATATAATCTCAGATAGTATCAGTGATAGAACATACAAGCAAGGCTAAGATCAGATTTGATTGATTAGAAGATAGCGAACTTTCATTCTTTCTTAAACTTATGATATGGCAAACACTTGAGGCCAAAAAAACAGTCTCCCAGATTTTTAGAGTGGATAATTTAAAGGACATCTTACCTAAGTTGGTGGATACTCTCGGCGTAAATTAATTCCGTTTACTGACAAATCTTAATTATAATTGTATTATTCTAAACAGTAAACAGTAAACAGTAACCTGCTTAATTCACACTATATTTCAATGTATATTTGAGTGTATTTAGCACGAAAGTACATATTAAGGACACTTTTCTTGCATCTCCTTCGGGAAACGGGGCAGCTATTATTTACATGGTCGTTTGAGCCAGCAAAGGTCTAGCGGTTTGAAGGGCAAGGGCTACTGTACCTTCATAGCTCCGTTATTTAAGACCATGAGTATAGATACGGCCCCGTCGATCAAGGGCTGTATCGCGGGAGTCCTTCCGTGTTTTAAGGCCAAAGAGTTAGTTAGAAAGTAGGATACTTTTTGTCTTCACATTAGAACTTTATATAATTAAGTGTACTTTGAACCCACTTCAACTTTACTTGGTGACCATGGAAACGTTCGTAGTTCGAGGAAGCCGATGTTTGCCGCCAAGTATGGGCTACACCACACTGAGAACACACTTGAACAATAACAAAATGGTAGGGATGTGCACGATTTACACTTGCAGCGGTTCCATGATTCTAATGAACGGGGAGATTGACAGTTTTTACATCAAGTGATATATTTTGTCAAGCAGTGTGAAGCCATGTTTTCTACACAGCGACTGAGGATTTCCAAGTGCACTTAAATCAAGTGCTTACTTGAACCAACTTCGCTTCTAGTGTGAAGCCAACAATTAACTTAATCGGTTTTTGTGCATTTTAGTTTAGTGTGATTTTATGTCGATTTCGTGGTCTTTTGTTTGCAGTTTTCAAAAGTTCATACCAAGATTTCGCAAGGTGCACTTTGTGTAAAGATTTATCCACCAATGTAGGTATTATTAACTCGAAATCGCGTGAAGAAATCTACGATAAGTATGAAATATGGCCGAGATCTTCGAAACTGGCCTATAGACCGTTTCCGCATTCCTCTAAACAAAGAGACTTATTCAAGGCTCGCAATGACAAAATAAAACTATTTGCATAAAAACTATCGATCATCAATGCATTGAATACGTTTTAATTTTAACTGTGTGTGCACACAAGTAAGGAATGCAAAGTCCGCTATCACACCAAATATTACCTCGAAGATAGATTTCTGATCATCGACCACAGAAATATCGATACTCACGAAGACGTTACCTTTATATATTTTAATGGACCAACTACAAGCACATTGGTTCCTGGAACGAAAGAATCTTTTGTTTCACTCGTTACAAATTTGAATAAGAAAAATATTGTTAGTGAACAGTGATGTCTTGACATCAGGTAACCGCTAGCTCGATTTTGAAAACAAAAAGTAATGGTATGGAGATTGTTCTAGTGATATGTAAATAATCTTATAATGTACCGTACACATACCCCTTCCTGTTTAACCAATATTGTGGGTAATCCGTTCTTAGAGAATGCGTTCTGTGAGTAATGCATTACACTGCGGTAATCGTAAGGTGTTCCAAGCGAATCAATTAGTGAATTGCCGAATTTCATAAAGTTGTGTTCTCTCCCTGAAAGAAAAAAGTTTCAATCACAATTTATTGAACGAGCTGTTAAATGAAAATAAGTAAAAGGATAAATAAGTAATAATAAACAAATTATAAATGAATAAAGGCCTTACGTTGGAAGTGGTATGAGTACGTAGTACACCTTTTAAGCTGTCAAAGTAGACTTGCTTGTCCGTACTCCTATTTTTGATTTGCTTTATTGACGACAGCCCCTTTTTCAACTTTAGGAGAAACAATTTCTTGAACAAACTTTATGGCACAACTCACTCATTAGAATCGATAACTGCCCCGTCTTCTATCGTGAATGGTTTGATCGAGGCGTTACGAAAGTGAAACATTTGAAAGATGAACATAACAAATTTTTATCACTAGCTGAGCTGCAGCAAAAATACAGCCTCAAAGTTTGTCTTTTAAAGTATTTCAGACTAGTGTCTGCTCTAAAATCTCTTTGGACTACATGTAAAACAAACTGTATCAAAAACTGCAACAATTATGAAACCTTTGTAGTAAGATTAACAGAATGCCAAAGTGCGAGCAAACTTGTATACACCAAGTTGCTTTCTACAAAATGCAAGTTACCATCCCATAATCAACAGAAATGGCTAAAAGACTGCAACGAAAAAGATGTGGAGGCGATTAATTGGCGGGAAGCCTACCAGTTGGCCGCTAAATATACTAAAAGTACAAGAATTAATGAATTCCAATATAAATTTTTACATAGACGAATATCAACGAACGACTTCTTAACAAAAATTGGCGTAAAAGACAACCCAAATTGTTCTTTTTGTAATAATGCACCGGAGAAACTTCTTCATCTTTTTTGGTCTTGTCCTAAAGTGGCCTTTTTCTGGCATAGTTTATCTCTTAAGCTGACTTTGCTCCACATTACACCGGAACATTACACATTAGATATATTTGTTGTACTTGGTCTAAAGCCGGATTCTTCAAAAAACTGCCAGCAAATTAATTTCCTTTTCCTTCTAGCCAGAAATTACATCTGGATTAGCAAAAGAAGGGAAACCTCGCCAAAGATAGCAGGCTTCCTGCAATACCTCAAATCATTCTACCACATAGAGACCACTGCAGGTCCCATTTTACCAAAAAAATGGGAAAATGTGAACTCCTTATTTCAGTAAGCCTTTGATTTTGTATACATTTGTATATCTCGATCCTCTGCTCATTTTCTCCAGCATTAACCTGGTGTATCTTTTGCTTCACAATCGCTGCCTCTTTAAGACACTTAAGATATAAGTGCGTTTACCGTGAATGTTTGGTTTTGTAAATGTTGGTTTTGAAGTACAATTACTAATTAGAACTGCTTGTAAATAGTGCATTGTAGTGTGAGTAGTGAGTAGGTAGTGTTGTAAGTACTGAGTATTGTAAGTCTTTACATTGTGAACAGAGTAAGTACCTTAGTCTATTGTATTCTAAATATTGTATTGTAAGTAGTGTAAGTATCGTAGTGTTTGTAAGTTTTTTTTTTTTTATTGTTGATTGTGGATTGAATAAATGTTATTAAAGATAAAAAAAAAAAAAAAAAAAAAAAAACTTTAGGAGATAATTTAAATTCCCTGCAAACAGAGACCTCTTTTTCCTGCTATTCGGCGGGAAGGAGGAAAAGAGACCTCTGAAACAGACAACGATGAAGCCGCCGTCCACGCTCGTCCACGGTGCTTTGCACAAAACGCATGTTCCTTGTAGTGTTTATTGACCGTTTCTTGAGTCTGTTTTCCTTCCTCCTGGCCAAGTACCAGGAAAAAAAGGGCCTGTGCTAGAAGGGAACAATTTGAACAGAATAGACAAAAAAACTAGCTAGTCTTTTATTGAACGCGAGGCTGATGTTGACCTTATTTTGATACAGAATTCCTTCAGTCTTTTGCTTATGGAAATAAGGCTAATACTGTAATACCAGTTAGCATAAGAAAATGATTTACAAAATAAAGCAGCAAGTTTTCTAAAAGAATATCATTGATTTGCCGTGAAATTGGTATACCAACATGAAACGGTACTACGAGGAATTAATAATAAATTGTCAATAATAGTTTTCACGACGATCATTTTCATCATCATCATCATCATCATCATCATCATCATCATCATCATATCATCTCATCCTCGTCATCATTATCCATCTGAGGAATTTTCGTACTTACCAGGTAGTATGTTGTCTTTCAAAATGGTGACATATTGGTCTCGGTCAGGACGAGATTGTTCGTGGTAATAACCTAAAGCATGTCCTGCAAAAAAGGATATATATTATTTTATAAATTCACCTCGATGGATGATTCCTACACCCTAGACCCTAGGTAGGATCAGCTGTCAGATTTTTGCCGCTGCGCTGATTGTGTATTGAAACACTGTGACATAATCTGATTGGCTGTTGGAAACAGCAAAAGAAGGAGGAGCTAAATAGACCCTTTTAGCTTCAATCTATGTTTTGTTTTCTACGCATAATTTATGAAAAGACAAAGGGTCAAGTTTCCTTTGGACCTCTATTGGGAAAACAAAACATTCACGCTAAATAGGTCTATTTCTTTGGCGGCTGTCTTGAAAATCATCCCAAACGATCAGACATCACAGTACAGAGATGAGAATTTAGCCGTTGCAGTTAGCTTGTTTTGTTGTTTGTGTTCGAAAAAAAAATCCTTAGATTATCTGTGTGGCTTGGAAATTGTCCAAATTCATTTGGTTGTATAGAGCGTTTTCAGATGACGTCACGGCGGCCATATTGGTGTTTCAAAACAATGAAACGGCAGCCATGTTGGTTAACCCAAAAAATCCTCTGGGAGTTGAACTCTTTTCTCATGTAAATGATTTGATTTTTTTGTTCCAATAAATTATCATAGATGCTAGCCACGTGAGTGAAAACGCTCAATATGTCCTGTTCTGGATTCCCCAAAGCATGAAAAGATCCACTTGAGCACTTTACGGCCGTGAGTATTTTTTTTTTTTCTGTTGTTAATAGGTACTTAAGCATACAGCTTAATCATAAAAGGTTCCTTTGGCAATTGGTCATTGGCAATTGGGCACTGGGCATTTGGGTATACAGAACAATGCAATGATCTGCTTGAGTGATCACCCACAATAGCTTATTAGTGGGCAATTCCAAAAAAGGAACCTTTAATACATTTTGCTAAAGCAATCCTTTATCGCTGCTACTTCACCAGAAAGTGATTAAACAAAATAACCAAATAATTACCGATTTCGTGAGCGACAATGCCCCTCGTCCAGCAGCCAAAACCCAGAGTAATGTCCTGACGTGATCCTATTTTACCAACCCAAGATGAACAGCTGAATAAAAATATGAAGTAAAATTATAGTCATGGTAAGAAATTGGTATTATACCAATCACGATCATCTACAAGTCAAATGTTTTTGTGTGTGTGCGTGTGTGTGTGTTCTGTTTGTTGTTGTTGTTGTTGTTGTTGTTTTTTTATATAGAAAAAAAAAATCAAGCAGGTGAAATAGAAAGCAAGAAAGAAAAAATAAATGGACAAAAGGGAAAAAATACTTCAATTATTATTAAACACTTTAAAAGTGGGTTGAGTTTGATAGTCCAGGTGAACGTAGTCCTGAATAGGACTGTTGTTGTTGACAGTGACTGACGTTTCGACACAACCTGTGCGGTAGGTATCTTCAGAGGCAATTACGTCGCGATGTTATTGGTCGTCTGTCCGGAGGACAGACAGGGAGCAATATACAAGATCAAATGCTGCGACTGCCAGGCTTCTTACATTGGTGAAACCGGCAGAAACCTTAGCACGCGACTGACCGAACACAAACTAGCGACGAGGAATGGTGACGTCAACAATCACATTGCTGAGCACCATTTACAGACGAAACATCAAATTGACTGGGACTTTGCGACAAGTTTAACGTATTCTACAGACTACTATCAACGTCTTACTTTAGAAATATCCTTTACTAACTTAGAGCAAACGCCACTGAATCGTAGCCAACAGTTACCAGCGTCGTACAAACGACTTATTGACGAGATCAAGCAAAACTAACCAGGAGAGAACGACTGGAGAACTGACAATTTCACTAACAATAGACGACGACGGACCGAAACGCACCATTACTGATTACGAGTCTTCATATCCAATAACATCACGGCTTAACTGACAGACTACCAATAACATCGCGACGTAATTGACCAAATAGATCAATAACCAGAGTATTACTCCATTAAATGACGAGATACAACTCACTTTGACTATGAAGATGACTACCGCACAGGTTGTCGAAACGTCAGTCACTGTCAACAACAACGGTCCTATTCAGGACTACGTTCACCCGGACGCTCAAACTCAACCTATTTTTGAAATGACTCCTGGGTTCAAACCTTTCACAGTTTTATTAGAAACTGTTTTCAGATATTCTTACATACAATGTCTGAAATTTAGAAAACATAAGAGACAAAAATAGAAAAAAAACGTTTCTTACCCCGAGCCAAATGTAAAATAGGTGTAATCCGTCTCAGTTGTTCGTTTTCTAAAGCGAATGCATGTCTTGCTGCGCCATTCATCCATTCCCGCCAAAACGGATGCCATTGCTTCAGGACGGTTAGCTAAAGGAAAAGTAGTATTAAAAAAATAATTATATTTTAGTATTATCGCAGAAAAAAAAAAACATTGCTTGGTTGGTTATTGTGGCACTTACATGACGTAATGTCATTGAATTATTAAAAAGGCCTACCTAGTGTTGGTGAAATTTCGTAGATCAAAACTCCGCCAGGCCAGAGTGGACTTCTAATTGAAGCTCCTTGTCTGTTAGATGCAAAAACGTCCAGTCCCATCATGGCATAGCCACGCTGCAAAGGCGTAAGACGCATGTCTCCCTCAAATAAATCGGGATCTTCAATTTCACGATTTTCTGCAAATGTACCATTTATGCATTTAAAAGTCGTAAATAAGTAGAAAGGTAGCTAGCAAAGTAAAAGGCGCGTATGAGTCGCATTTATCTTGATTTTAATGAACTGGGCAATTGCGTTAATTGGTTTACGAAATTAAGAGTAAAAGAACATACTAACCCTGTAGGCAGATAATCCTGAAAATATTGATGGTTGGTGTAGGACCGAGTATTAGATACAAAGATGTTCTAAGTTGTCCTGCTGTTAAAACCTCCACTGGCTGAACGTTAATATTAACTGATGAATATTAATAATAAATCAATTAAATCGAGAAGTAAAACTGTTG